AGGTACTGGAAGGCTGCAATAAGGTCTCCCCGGAGCCTTCTCTTCTCCAGGCTGGACAAGTCCAACTCTCTCAGCCTGTCCCCATAGCAGAGGGGCTCCAGCCCTCTGAGCATCTTTGTGGCCTCCTCTGGATCACGAGTCCTGTATAAAAAACACATCCTAACTTCTCGTAACGTTACATAACAACGTAAACTGCACTACACAGTTAAGGGAAACCTGCGGTGCTCTGAAGATCTTGTGAATTATTCTGTAGCTTCCACACTCAAGTGGCAGTACGACACTGCCATTCACTCTCCTGCACTGTCTCACCACAACATCTACTCCCTGTTGTCACCTTTCACCTTCCCTCACCAGTATTCCAAATGTTCCAGCAGCTAGGCCTGCAGGCCTATGTCTACCCCAGGCTATGCATTTTACTGAGTATAAAAACAGTCATTTAAAAATACCCACAGTATTGCACTTACACAAAGCAGCACTCTGATTCTGTCCAGATTAGGAATTAGGTGCTTTACTATGTTAGCAAGGAACGTGTCCCTGCAAAGACAAGCTCCAAACAAGAAATGAAATACCAAGGACAAAATAAGCCAGCTTGTTAAACTCCCATCAAGTGGCCAACAGTTCAGTTGAAATGTCAAAATTAATAAAGCTGTCAGTTAGGACAGGGCCACATTTGACACTATTTTAGCCAAAGCATTGAGCCAGGCAGAGCAATGCTTTGGCAGTCAGAGCACAGCCGCTGCAAGGCAATTGTCTTTGAATTCCATCTCCCCCGGCCCCAGATCACCCAGACAGAGATGTCACGCTGGGAGAGAGCTGTGTTTGGAAAGAACATGAGAAGCCATCCTTAGACCCTTTAGGCACAATACAGCAGAGATTAACCAAGGAGTGATTTTTAAAACAAAGCCAGACCCAGAAAAAGAACAAATTTTGCTTCTGCACTGCAGGGTAGACGTTGCAGGGTCTATCCAGTCGGTTAGTGCACTTGTGAGTGTTACTTGATGCGTGTGCTGCTTATCCTGCGGTTGCTGCTCCAGAACACAGGTCCTAGTTCTTGCTGCCTGTCTTGGACACCACCAGGTACCTCAAGGGACACCAGGCAGGCAGCTGAATCAAACCCTTCGTAGGGAGGGAAATGAATGGCTCTGATGAAAGAAAGACGCGTTCTTCAACTTTTTGGTAAACAGTAAGTACAAAACTGCAACTGTGACCACATGACACATCCTGGAAAGCCTCTTCTATCGTTCCAAATTCTAATCACTGTTGTACAAAACATCTATCCTCCCATTCCTGATTTTAAACATATTGATTCACTTTTACATACCTATTTTTATTAACTATGCTAATTCAAAAGGGTGCTGATCACCCTCTTTACCATGGAAACTTTGGGTTTCAAGCCAGAGCACTTATCTAAGTACTCAAGACATGGATTTAGGTTCTCCACCGAGAACCAGAGGGTAAAACCGACCTGACTGCCCCAACACAGTACGCGGCCTCCCCATGCAACTGATGGCCGCAGTGCGTACTCTAGAGAGTCAGCTTTCAGGTTAAATTTACTATCAAGTTCAATTTATTTCATGGCCTTCTACCAAAAGATCCTGAATGCTGATCATTACTGTGAACATCGTGTGGGCTTTTAGGATTTGTTTCTTTTAAATGGCTTACTTTTTCTTCCCTAAAGTCCTCTTAGGGGGTAGCTAAAAGGAAGACAAACTGCAGTTAGTTACTCCCCATAAACAGTGTTACATACACAAACACTGGGGATACACAGCAATAGTCACCTTCCCTATTTTTAAGCACCCAGCAAATGGCCAAGCCTGAGACTATAAAACATGCACTGTTCTTGATACATGGTCATCAGTAACATCCAAGATTAAAAAAAACCCAGCTCAATATTAAAAGTTGACAGGCCATTAGGATTCATAGCAGGTGTGAACTAAAGCCTCTTATTCCCGAAAGTCTGAAAACTGGATGTTTACCTAGGACCCTGTAATTGTATAGATAATATATTCTTTCTCTAGTATTATAGGACTTTTGTTTATCCACAGCGTAATTGAATGTATTTCAACTACCATAAATCTTTTACCATGCTTAGGAACACAGAAAACATGTTTGTCTATATCAGATAGGTACTGCAAAGGAAAAATGGTGCTTTTAGGAGGATACCTATTTTAATTTTGTTAGAGATGCTGGCTAAAAATCAGAGGCAGAACTTGACCACTGGTATAAATCCTTCCCACTAGATCAAGACTTGCTGTGATTTTTATTGTATTAGAGGGCTGTTCTATCCAGACATGCTGTTACTTCAGAATACCAGGCTCTGTTTACAGGAGTGACACTCCTGATCCCCAAGGGCCAGCCTCCTCGCTGTCATTTCTGCACTGGCTTGAACTAGTTTATTCCTAACCAGCTATTAAACTGCCCTCCTGGATTTGCTCAGAAGTCAGCAGCAGACAGGCACACTGTCTATTCAACAGCGACACACTGATTCACAAAATGTGGGTGAAACCGCTGAATACACAGAGACAGAGAATAGGTAGAGGGTTTAATAACACAAGATGCATTTCCTCTGAAAACCAGGCTAAGGAAACTATCTGAAGAGAGGTGGAGGAGGCTTTCACTGTGATTTAAAACCAGCTCTGGGCCATCTGCAGTTTTAAAGACACCTGGAGATGGTCTTTGGTGACCCACAACACCCCCCCTGTTACCCTTCAGAGGGTTGATTAGTCCTCAAACATCCTCAGAAATATATGAACCTGCCTAGGGACAGCACATTATTCCTGAAAGGCTGGAGCCAATGAGAACAACTAGAAAATTTGCCCCTGGTCAAGTAAGTCTGGAGATATTTGCACCAGTTGTGATTTTTGATTTTTCTACACCAGCAGTGATGTTTTCTGCATGCCCCTTTTCAGCTCCTCAGAAGGAGCTGCAAGGAAGTCTGAGAAACTGGCCTGGTTTATCATGTTCAAAAGCCACCCTGGCATCCAAGGCAACTCGACATTTGATTTCTTAGCTCTCTTCTGTCGTATCAATTGACAATCCATCTTGGAAAGAAACCAGAAACACTTAATGAAACAATTTTATCAGAACGGACGTAAATTCAAGAGAGCAAATAACCCTGAGAGATGGGTGTCTGTAAGCTGCAAGCTGCAATAGTTTCATGGTTTTAGAGTCTGTGAATACTTATATATACAGGCATCTTAAAAACAACCCAATCCAGTACGACAGGTCCTGTGTCCTACTCAGTGGTCTCTGACAGTGCCTGTACGAGTGAGAAACATCACTGCCACTTTGACATGAAAGGCAACTTTGACGTTTTCCAGGAGTGTCTGTTTATTTTTATTATTTTCATGTAGAAACCAGATTCAGATACCTGGACATCATCTTTTCTGTATGTTTGTAATACGTTGGTTGCTCGTATGGTGAAGGTAGCGTAGAATTTAAAACAGCCCTTTATTCTGCTTTAGAAAGGTGGGCTCCGAGAACTTTATTAATCAGTATTTATTTTTATTATTTTAATTTTTTTTAAGCGAGGAAACCCCCATACTCAGCAGGGGAAAATTCCCCTTTATTTCCATAGTGCAAACAAACCAAAGCTCAGCTAACACCTGACAATATTTAAACAAACTTTCCAACAGCTCAAAACAGCTCAGAAAATCCCCCTTCCTGAGTGCAGAAAGAGCTCATAGACCACCCAGTGGTATTACACATGTGGGAAGAAAGTCTGAAATACATTATTTGAAAAGAAACAAAACTGATGCTAGCTCTTAGCATCTTAGGCCACTCTTATGTAATTAGACTACTTGGAATTACTCTCATCTAGTTTTCAGTGAATATAAGTTTCAATTTTGCCAAGCCTGGGGCAACAAGCTCAACATTAAGTTATCTAAATAACTCCTACTGATAGGTTCTCCAGAAAATGTTATCAGTGATGTCACATGTATTTTGTCAAGTAACCTGAGAAAGAATATTAACTCAAACGGCAATTTTAGTAAACTGAAAACTTGTCCATTTTGCATGTGAAGAGCTGACTCTATGAAAATTTTCTTTCTTAACAGCAAAGGCTTGTTACGTAGCAAAAAGATCAGAAGATCCGTTACACGTCACATCGTGGGGATTTCCGGTCATGATTTAAAACCACTTTACACATTAAAATAAAAATGACTATTGCCATAATCATGACATGTAATGCAGCTGTGGATTTGGACCAGGGTGGCCTCCAAACTATATAATCTCTGCGCTGTAGAAATGAAATCACTTAAAACACAAACGATGTATGATGAACTTCTTTAGTTCCACCTCACCCTCAAGAATCAGATTGCTTCCCCTCATTTTGACAAAGCTGTACCTTTACATTCTGGCTTGGATACAAAAGAAATTACAAAGTCCATTAACTAGAGTAAACGAGATCTCTAGAGTTCTGTAAATAATACAGACGCGTTGTAAATCGCAACAGAGCCAGTGCAGAAGTCATCATTACCATTCAAATAACTAATGAGCTCAAGCTTCTAAAATATGAAATACCATGGTTTCAGCTTCTGAGTTATTGTATGGAGCTGCTGCACAAAGAAAACAAACCACTGAAATTGAATGACCCAAGGTTCAGGAGGACTTTTTTTAAAACAAGAGTATCATTGAGTGCGGGTGCAGGGGGGACACTCACAAAGATTTTAATTGGAAAAGTAAAAAGCTTTACTGAACCTCAACATCATTGCTCAAAAAAAGTCTGAGCAGCTATCAGTAGTTTAGCAACTCCAGACAATCCCGTACTTCTCACAACACACACCCACTGATCAGTGAAGAGCAGTTTATAAATAAGCAAAAGGTGCTGTTCGCACACTGCTAGGACCCTGTCTATAGCATTCCTGGTGCCTTTCCTAAAGCAGCAGTAATGCCACTAGGACCGAGCGGGAGGCTGCCAAGCATTCTCGAGCAGACAAGGAGCTGCGCGCAAGCCCAGCGCTTGTGTTTCGATGCTATTCGCTTCCCCGCTGAAAGCACCACTAAATCGCCCCCCTCTCCTTCCAGCCGCGCAACGCATCTCCCCACGAGCGGCGACCAGCAGCCTTGACTTGCCTACCTGTTTCGTCGGGTGAGCTCGGTGAGGCACTGTCCTGGGACAGCGTAGTCCAGCTGGAGTCCTCGTCGCTTGGCGCCAGGTTTTGAATCCTATGGAGGGCACAATCTGTTTTGGCCCCAGTTTTTGGGTGGTCTTTCTTAGTCTCAGGGCTTGACGACACTGTGGCAACTTGGCCATCCTCCGGGCTTGACAGGTTGTTTTGTTTCCGGGGCAGGGCTTCCCCATTGACAATCACAGTAGAAGCCTGGCCGTTGCTTTGTGCAGATTTATCTTCCATTGCAACAAAACTCTGCTCCAGCTCTCTAGTAGATGTCTCTAGATCCGCATAGTAATTCAGGAAGCTCTTGGTCCTCCTTGGCTGCGAGGGTAGTATTTCACAGCCAGAGGAATCCTGCGGGATTGGCTCTTTGCCCTCAAACTTCTCAGAAGTTACGTTTATGCCCGCAGTGGTACTGAGGTTTTTGTTGGGATCCTGCTGCCCCTGCTCGGCGGCTTTCCTGAGCTGGTTTTCTCCATTCTTCACCAGCTTTATATTGGCAGAGCTGTTCCCCAGAAGGGGCTGCGCTGCTGGATCGGAAAGACCCATGGCTGTCTGGATATTAGTCAGCGCGTATTTCTTCCTGCATTTCGGCGGAGTGTTGTTCTTGGTCTCCGTGTGCCTGATCTCCGCATTCAGAAGTTCGTTATGAGAGGAGCGCAGGTTAAGGGTGTTCGGCGGGGTGGCGGGGCTGTTGCGGTTCACAACGTCTGTCGTGCTGCCGCTTGCCATAAACACGGCCAACGCGTCCACACCGGAATCAACTGGAAAAGCAAAAGAAACAGTCGTGAAACACACTTGTTACATACCTTATTTCGCTAGGGCGTCTGGTAAAGGGATGCGGCACTTTACATAATTGTTTTACAGTAAGAAAATTACCACAACCTAAGTGGGTAAGAGCACAGACATAAGCTTAGCTTATTTAATAAGGAAAAACAGAGGCAGAAAAATATAGAGATCATCAGGACCACGAAGCTGAGAAAAAGCAGAAAGCTTGACCCTAACACAAGGCAGTTTTAAAGGCAGTTTTTTCATGTCCGATTCCTCAGCAAGCAGGCCTGGTGCCCTTTGCAAACACCGGGGAGTCCAGGACTCATCCTCACAATCATTTCAGTTTAGTGTTTCACCTCAACCTCCAACAAGGGGAAGGGGAAGAACTCCTCAAGCGCTCATCAGTGGGAAGCAGAAAATTGAGAAATTTCCAAGCAGACCACAGGCAGATGCTGTACTTTTTTCATCTAGGGCAGAGCTCGAGTACTGTCAATTTGAAGCCTGACTGGCCAGTCAGCTGTTGCAGAGAAAATGCAGGTGTTAAGAAGCTCTTAAACAGTCTTACCCTCCACTGTGCCTTTTATTTCTCCCCTCTTTTTTTGACTGAGGGAAGAAGAGGGTCAGAAGATAGGGAATACAAGAAATAGATGACTTCACAATACTGTATTTGATTTCTGGGGGGGAAACAAGAAAATCCCTGTCAAAATCACCTGCTCTAATGAAATCAACTTTAAAAAAAGGGCTGCTCCAGAGATGAAGATGGTTCACTGTTTCTACAGCTCAGAATTCAAACTTAAGGGTAAAATGTACATCCTGGGGCAAAATACACATATCCCACAGTTAAATAAAACTATTCTTTCATCTACGTGTAGACAAGTTTCTGGGTTTTATTAGCCAGGGGCACAGCTCACATTTTGCAAAAATACTAAGTTTATTGAAGAAACAGATTTTAAGACTATGAAAAAATGATCAAAAAAATATATTTTGTAAACACTATCGTTTGTTCCTGTAGTGGCTATTTATGTCTCCACTAATCTGCACAAATACTCCATGAACACCTCAGTTTACATACAGTAGTACTTACTGTTGTTTGACACCTGGCAACCAAATTAGAGGCCAATTAATAAATCACTCCCATCTGCCACAGTATAACACACCCTTTCTGTTGTTCCTAATTCTCAGGTATCATTGACTGCTTAGACTGCACATAAAAACATGTCTGGGGCTTATTGAGGAATGAAAACTCATAATTTGAGCTAGCCGATGACAGATCACTCCAGATGAGTTGTGCTGGATCCCTGTGTATTTGATACATGACAGAACTGACTGCTGTACAGATTTACAAGAGATTAAACGCATGGGTATTAAAAGAACAAATGCATAAACACAGAATGAAAAAGAGCATTTCACAATGTTATCTAAACGCATGCACAGTTGCTAGTGTTCCCTTCTCTTTGATGTGCTGTCAAAGCTGCACACCTCCAACCATCACTACAGTTCATTTAAAAATCAAGCAAACCAAATATACTCATAGAATTGTTTGGG